TTTTTACGGCATTAAATGAAGCAGGAATATAGCTAATTGGAACGAACTCACTCAAATACTGTACTTATACTCCCAAAGAATGACTTCGGCTTCTTCATAGACGTTGTAGGCTGCTACGAGTACGACTTCTTTCTTCAATCCGCGCGGCCGGGGGCAAAGTTCACAATACTACGACGATGGATTCGATTATCTTGCGTCGGCGAAATATAGGTGCTGGCTTGCGGTTAAAAGGCTACGAAGGACCACTGTTCCAATAGAAGTGATAATGTAAAGTCAAAAAGCTGCTTAGTTTGTGAAACATTTTGGGACCCTGGTGAGTAAACTATTGTATCTTGCCAGATTTAGGATTCATCTTTTGAGATAGGCAAATAACCTATAATTCTCATTTGTTGCAGATGAATCAGGGTTTTTTTTCTTTAGTTTAATTCTAAATCTTTAGTTTATCATTAGTTTTTATCTAATCTTTTGTTTAAATCTAAAGTTTCTATTTATACCTTAAATTCTTATTGGATTGGAATGTCATTGCGTGACATTTGGATTTTGTCTCTCTGCCGGCCTGACCCAAGTGTTTAGTTTGCTGTGGAGCACTTATAATGGTAGAAAAAGCTGTTTAGCTGCAGTCCATTATCAGGCGCCTTGGAATGCTACCCCGCCTCTTCCACCACGTGGGACCGGAGTGAGATGTTTTAGATTTGGTTTGAATTCTTTTCATTCGGACTGAACCAATGTCATTTGGTATGCTTTTTTATTATTTTGTTTGGCGTTGTGGCGTGGGATACTGCAGGCCCCCCAAGGGGTGTTATTTTTTTACTAGAGAGTAGGTCGATGCCACAACTACCCTTAGATTCATTTCTTATTGAGTCTTTATGTGACTCTTAAAACTTATTTAATTTTATATTGTTTTTTTTTGTTATTTGAAAAGGATTGCATTAATGACAGTACTAATTTGAGTATAAGAATTACCTATTGTAATTAGAGTCCTAAGATACCTTGTACTCTACAGACACTACGGGAAAATAAACTGCCACTAGAACTTAACATCCTTGTATTTATTAGCTGCCCCCCGTCCTAGATTAAAGGTCTAGCGCTGACCGAGTTGTCCGAGGCATTTATTGTGTTTGTGGTTGGTTCTGTGTTCTTTTAAGGTGGTATCTGGCGTCCGAGTTGTTAGTTTGTTAGTATTTGTGATGCCACCAGTTAGTTTTATTTGTTAAAACAGACCCCACACACATAAATATATTTTTTAATTTTTTTATATTACAACTAATATTATAAAGCTGAAGAGTTTGTTTGTTTGAACGCGCTAATCTCAGGAACTACTGGTTCTATTTGAAAAATTCTTTCAGTGTTAGATAGCCCATTTATCGAGGAAGGCTATAGGCTATATATCATATCACGCTAAGACCAATAGGAGCGGAGCACCAATGAAGAATGTTTCAAAAACGGAAAAATTTATTACTATTGAGAGACGCAGACGAAGTTGCGCGGGTCAGCTAGTTTAATATAATTAGATTATAATCTATGTGAAAGACTGGTATCTGTACTAGGAGACCTGTATGACAGATTACCAGTCTCTCCAGACTTTGGACAGTTGGATTCAGGTAAGTAACATTTTATTACTATGCACTAGGTCCGGATGTCTATCCGGACCCCTCCTAGCGCCAGCCCGCTCCTGGTGCGGGCTCCGTCTCAATATATTTTCCTCTCTTTAGGCGACGTCCGGCACACGCGGACGCCGCCCCCTCGCGGCTGGCCAAACTAATGCGGGTGGAGAGGAAACCCACCCCGTCCACCCCCGGCCACACTCAGGGCAGCATGAGGCGGTGATAGGCGGGCCTCAGCCGCCCGGTTCGCCGGCGGCGGATCGGGTCCGAGTGGAGGTCGTCCTCCCGGGCCCTCTCCGCCGCCTCCTTCCGCGAGATTACTACCTCGCAGAAGGTTGCGACCGCGGTAAAACAAATGTCGCTACCGGCCATGGAGCGTACTACGGCCGGTAGCGAGAGATCCACTCCGATGACTGCAGTGAGGGCCCGGCGCTGCGCCGCCCATGCGGGGCAGACCGCCAGCGTGTGCTGGGCCGTGTCCTCACTGCAGTCGCAGTGGTGGCAGGCGGGACTCAGTTCCCTCCTAGCGACCGAGTGCAGGTACTTTCCGAAGCAATCGTGCCCGGAAAGCACCTGCGTCAGCCGGAAGGAAAGGGTCCCGTGCTGCCGCCCTGCCCACTCGGCGATGACCGGCTGGAGAGCCTCCACGGCGGCGAAGCCAGCGCGTGGAGTCTCCAGCCGGAACGACCAACGAGCCATCGTGGCTCGGCGAGCGGCTTCGCGCCACTCGCGCACATCCTCGGGCGGAGGGCGAAATCCGCTCTCCGCCCGGGAGTCAGCCACTCGCCGATAAACTTCGGCGAGCACTTCCGCCTCCAAATCCCACGGGGGAGTTCCGGCCAACGCGCATGCCACCTCCGTCGAAACGGTGCGGTAACCGCGTATGGCTCTGACCGCCATTACCCTCTGAGGGGCCAGAGGCGTACCCTATTCTGGGCGGTCAGAGCCGCCGCCCACACCGGTGCACCGTACAGTGCCATTGACCGGACAACCCCCGTGTACAGCCGTCTTGTCGCGACGCTGGGTCCACCCATATTGGGCAAAAGTCGCCCTAGTGCAGACGCAGCGCCGACCAGCTTTGGAGCAAGCTGTCGGAAGTGCTCGTCGAAGAGCCACCTCCCGTCGAGGATCAGGCCCAGATATTTCATCTGGGCCCGAACCGGTACGAGGACCGAGTTGACCACGATTGAGGCGCCAGGGGGTGGACCACGACGGGGCCCATGAAATAACAGGGCCTCCGTCTTATCTAGGGCCACCCGTAAGCCCAGCGCCTCAATGCGCCCGACCACCAGGGAGACTCCCCCTGTGGCCAGGCGCGCCGCCTCTTGGAAGTTTGCCCCCCGGGCTGTCACCAGGGTATCGTCTGCGTAACAGATTACACCCAGCCCGGGGGGGAAATCGGCGCGAAGGGCCCAGTCGTACCCTATGTTCCACAATAGGGGTCCCTATACCAACCCGTCTCGCCAGCATGGTATAGTAAGCCAAAACCTCTTTTCTAAGGAGAGGCTTATGTCCAACAGTGGACGATTAGACTGTTGATGTGATATTTTTTTTTAAGCAATCTTTCCGTACCTTCTTAATTAATTATTTTTTTAAAGACAGCTCTCGCTCTAGGAATATATCCTGTGTCGCGGGGGACTTTACAAACATAGATGAAACGGACACAAAGAACACCCAGACTCAGAACAACAATTTGTGGATCATACAATGTGTCGCCCTATGTGGGGATCGAGCCCACAACACTTAGCGTAGTAGGAAGCGGCGTGGCGACCGCTTAAATCACTACGCCATCCGTGCAGTCAAAAATAATTCTGAAATAGTTATGACGGTGACTCAGAAGATATCTGTTGATTCATGCTAATAATATAATAATTTACAAATATGTGGAGATGATATCAATACTTACGTTATACATTTGTAAGTGAGTTTGTTTGTTACGCTTTCACGCCTAAACTACTAAACCGATTTTAAAAATTCTTTCACCAATGGAAAGCTACATTATCTGCAAGAAACATAGGATACTTTTAACTGATATACACGCGGGGCGGAGCCGCGAGAAAAAGCTAATGATAGAATTAATAAATATTCTTTCAAAATTAGTTGGGTAGATGAAAGTAAATTTGTGAGGTTTTTATATTTGCGACTGTACGGGGTTTACCCATTTTACCCACTCATGTATCCGACTCTGTTCGTCTTGGGCATGGTCGGATATAGCGAGCTTAGAGTAAGAAGGGACCTTAGTCTTGCCTCCAATATATTAATCTACTAAGGGGAAAAATCCACGACAGCAATATATTAGGATTGGTAGGCATGTGTGTACCGGACGGGTATGTGTGGCGGCGACGCCGTCCGCCATTGTTGGCGGTGCCGCGCAGACGCACTAATTTGCTAAGCGAAGCGCCTCTAACGCGTGCGTTGCGCACCCTAAACCTAGTAGCCACAGATATCGACTTATTTAGCTGTACAGTGAGTGAGTTCACAAAGACAGTATTATATATTATATGTTACAAAACAAAAAGTTAGAGGTTATTTAAAACAAGCATTTTTGTAATAGTTACACTATCGCATTAGGATATACCTGTAATGATAGTAGTAAGTGTGGATACTAAATAAATAAATAAATAAATTGAGATTTAGTAGGCAATAATAGAGCAGTAGCAGCAGATTGGAGGAGGCCTTTGCCACCTGGCAAACGGACACACCAAAATGGAAAAAAAGAATAATGTTTGAATGTCAAAGATATATAGTTGTGCCCGAACGAAGGATTATAATATAATAACAATAATAGAGCAGTAGAAGGAATTAGTAAAGTTGTGAGTACTGTTAAATTGTTGACAGGCCTGTCGGTTTAGTGGTTAGTGACCCTGACCGCTAAACCGGAGGTTGTAGGTTTGATTCACACCCAGGACAATTAATTGTGTGATGAGTATAATCATTTGTTCTGTGTGGGTGTTATTTATTTATAATATTTATTTGGTAACTAGCTGAGACCCGCGGTGTTACCCGCGTTTGTTGTCATAACCGCGGGCAACGCCGCGGGGCGAAGCTAGTCTAAAAAAAGTAGCCTAAGTTACTCCTTATGTCATCAGCTATCTGCCAGTGAAAGTCCCGTCAAAATCGGTCCAGCCGTTCCAGAGATTACCCGAACAAACAGACAGACAATAATTGTAAAAAATGTTATTTTGGCATATGTACCGTGTAAACATACATATGCATTTAGTAAAAAGCGGTTATTTTAATATTACAAACAGACACTCCAATTTTATTTATTTGTATGGATATGTTTATCATACTGCACTGCACTGGTTACCATAGAACAGGCTCTGCCCAGTTTTGGAACTGATGGCCATGTCATTAGTGAGAGGTTAAAAAAAAAATAAGTTGCAGGTTACTTACAGTCCTAATTCCTTTTTTATGGCCACTTCTTCATCACTTTCTCTATAGAACTTGAGAGCATATCTGTTGGCGTTTCTGCCACCCCTGGGTCGAGAAGGCTGGTAGTTGACGGACACCACATCATATGCATTGGTGCCAGATGATGCTGTAAAAGAATGGGTTCAATTACCAGGACATAAAAATTGTTACACAATTAAAATTGGTTACATAATGGATTAAGAATACAGACTAGCATCACCCATATTCATAACGTGGGTGTCATAAGAGTCAACAGTACACAGGACTTCATCAGCACTGCAAAGAGAAGGAAAACTTGATAGAAATCTATACCTATACCAACCCGTCTGGCCAGAGTGGTATAGTAGGCCAAAACCTCCTTTCTAAGGAATGGCCAATGTCCAGCTGTGGACTATCAAAGGCTGTTGAGGACTATTAAGACAATTATTGCACTATGAGTATATCTGGTGTTGCGGGGGACTTTACAAACTTTCATTCAAATGGACACAAAGAACACCAAGACTCGTAACAACAATTTGTGGAAAGTTTTGTCCCATATGGGGATCGAACCTACAACACTTAGCGCAGTAAGAAGCGGCGAGATGACCGCCATTACGCTATCCTTGCAGTCGCAATTTTGGTGCGACATTATCTGGTTAATCAATACTAACACCACCTTGTCTGAGAACGAACACAGCATTCAGTGCAGTAGGACGTAGTAAGGTGACTGCTTAAACATAGTAGTTACGTAGGAGAGCCATGCTTCGGCACAAATGGGCTGGTTCGACAGCAGTGATACCACGGCCTCACAGAAAATCAGTGTTAAGCAATTCTTTCCTTGCCTTTCACTGTGTGAGTGAGGTTACCGGAGCCCAAATCCCAGACTCCAAGGGCCGCAACGCACTTGTGACTTTTGAGTTGTAGGAGTCCATGGGTGGTGGTAGTTGCTTACTATCAGGTGACCAGACTGCTTGTTTGCCGCCAATACCATAAAAAAAAAATGTTTCGACATACGCTACGACATACGACAGTTACGTACTGTAATGACATTCGTGCAGTGACTGTTGCCGAGAAGTTTCAAGGAGTATAATAATATAATAATAAAGCCCTTTTCTTCCGAATTCGCTACAGATTTGACAATACATATTTCCGAGTTCTATTTGTTATATTATGTCTCGCAATTCGGTGCGCCTCTTGGCATAGGCCTCCTTCAGCTCTCTCCACTGAGCTCTATCCTCTGCTACTCTAGTCCAGTAAGGTCCCAAAGTTAGGCGGATATCGTCCATCCATCTAGTTTTCGGACGCCCCTTTCTTCTACAGTCCCCTCTTGGGTACCATAAGGTGACTTGTTTGCTCCATTTATTTATTTTGGAACGTAGCATATGTCCTGTCCAACCCCATTTTAAATGATCTATGCGAGTTATAATATCTGCAACTTTAGTTTTTCTTCTTATTTCAGAAATTCTAATTTTATCACTAAGTCTGAGTCCCAACATGCTCCTTTCCATTGCCCTTTGTGCACTAGCCAGATTTTCCCTTTGCTTGTCTGTTATCGCCCATGATTCGCAGCCGTATGTCATGCACGGGAGGATGCAGGTGTTGAAGGCCTTTTTCTTAATATGCATACCTAAGTTTTTGTTCTTCATTATTTCTTTTAGGGACCAGTATTTTTTCCATCCGCAAGCTATTCTTTTATTTTTTTTCTTTAGAGTATAACCTGTTAGTAATTAAACCTATTCACTTACTTGACATCAATAGTGTCTTATTTTGTTTTTTACATTGCAGTTGTTGCTTTTTAGCCTTCCCACTAAACGGGGTCTTGCGTCTAGCTTGCGGCATGTTGGCTTATTTCTGTAAAAAAAAAACAATAATTAAAACTTTGTTACAAGGCTTTGTCTCATATGCTCTGTTGAAGAAAGGACGAATTGAGCAAACGAGTAAGCCTGTAGTACCCTAGGAATGGCAGCAGATGGTAAGATGACATTCACATAGAATAGAATATGCTTTATTGTACACCAATTACAGAAAGTTGGTTAAATATTACAGGTGGATATGTACAAAGGGCGGCCTTATTGCACATAATCCTGGGACTGCAACATCAATGAACAAATCTCTATAGAACCTTAATAAACTTCAGGTTCTATGGAGATACACCAGTTAAATCTTCAGACACTACCTACAGTAGGTATTAGTCGAGTCACCACTGTGTCAATGCTCAACACCTAACTCTCACTATGAACAGTCTGCTCATCATATCCTCTGGGAATGTAGTCTTTGGTATAATGAACGTAATATAATGCTGAATAGCTTGCAGGTGACATCTGGGGCGGTATACTATGGGGATCTTGTGTCAACTAGGGTGAATTTTCGTGCGTTTAGGCGATTCTGCCATACATATTATAAAAATCAAACATAGCTCACGTAGGACCCGTAATATTTGTGGCCGTGGTGCTTCCCTGTTTAAAAGGGTGTATGCCCTTTTTACTTCATTTTGTCTCCCGCTTTGCTAAGGAGGGAAGTGGATTTACTGTATTTCCAACTCCTCCAATTTTCTTCTGATTAATTTCGTTGCGGGTTCCAAGACAGTTTAATTTCTTCCTGGGACTTCCCGAGTGTCATAACTCGGTGTGTTCGTGGGTCACTGCTGTGGATCCTGGTGTACAGGAGTTACAGTGGTGGGCGTGTGGGTGGGATTAGTCCCATGTATACCTACAGTAGGCAGAGAATGTGTAAAAGAGTATTTATGTACGTAAGTTGCTCAATTAAGATGGCCTTTTTATCGATCATTATAATATTATTTGTTTATAAGTTATAGTTAGGTGATATATATATATTTGTATGTATATATATATATACCAGCAGACCCGACAGACGTTGTCCTGTCAAATTTGACACTGCAATGGTAGCGCCGTCTGTCTGATCCAATGTAAAACATTCCAAAATCAACAACTACTAATAAATTAAAAATTAATTAAAAAAACATTGTCCAGCGGACAAAATTGTGAATCTAAACCATTCCCAGATCCCCTTGAACACACACAAAAAATTTCATCAAAATCGGTCCAGTCGTTTGAGAGAAGTTCAGTGACATACACACTCACAGAAGAATTATATATATAAAGATATATATATATAGGTATATACTAGCTTTTGCACTCTGCTCCACTTTCGTTTAAGTCCGTTGTTGCGGTGAAGAGTATGTCTGTAGGTTATCCTTTTTCAAACTATCTCCATAACAAACTTTATCCACATCAGTTTAGCGGTAATTGATTTTGAATAGAAACTCCCACCCCCTTTCCTTCCCACGATTAAAGGATGATTTCTGGGATAAAAACTATCCGATGTCCTTTCCGAGGACTCAAACTACATCTATACCAAATTTTATCTAAATAGTTTCAGGGGTTTAAGCATGAAGAGGAGACAGATACACTTTCACATTTATGATATTAATTATTATAACAAAAAGCTTAATCTATGTCTTTCTAGATACTAAATAATCCAGAATCAGTTTTTTTATCGCAAAATTAAGATGAAAATTGATTAACTAAGAAAAACGTGTTCCCATCCACAGGTAACTCTCACGGTGTGCTAAGGTCAATGGCACTTTGCTTTTTTTTTAATCACAAATGGTAACAGTCGCAAAAACCGGTCAATTGCCGGCATGTCTACCAATACTGTTAATATACAATATTTGAGCTGAATAAACCTAGATAGAATTACTTTACGGCTAAATACTATAATTATTAAATAAAAACCATGTAATACAATAAATTGTAGTGCTTATTATTTAAAATGTCATGGCTTCACACGCGGTGAATTGGAATGTTGTCTTCCTACAAAAAAGTGTATATCGTTGGCAAAATACCTAACTCAAAATTCTAATAGGATTACTTAGGAATGACTCACAAGCCTAGAGTTTCACAGTTTTTCCAGATGATTCAAGTACAAACAGCAATCAGCAGACGAAATCAAGAAGTAAACGTGAGTTAACGTGACGTTCCAGTACGAAACTGTAAGTAAATAAAATGACAGATGGATTATAAATCCTTTCTGTCACTTTTTTTTTTAATAAAGTTTTCTACCCACTTATTACATTCTGATTTAGGAGATTCGAGGTAATATAGACAAATATTACATAAAAAAAAGTGACACAATTGATTGAATGTTTAATAAAATGTTATTTATTGTTGGGCATTTAGAATATTAAAACTAAATTCAGAATGGAACGCGCCCAATGACAGTTTCAGTTCTGTTTAAAAATTACTTCAATTTCAACTTTTGGTTATTGGCTTTGTGGTAGAGTGTAACCACAAATTCGCCAAAAAAAAATAATTATACTTTGACGTGTATCAACCTTAGCGACACGTCAAAGTTTTAGTAATGAATTTAAAAAACATATTATTCTAGATAGTTACATTTATTCATACTCAAATTCTGGCCTAATTTTCATATAAACTAACTAAATACGTTATATATGATTTTTTTAATTGTCGAAATAAAGTTGTTTTTTCGTCGACTTGAGTGTTGTAACATTTTAATTATTTAAAATTGCCGCCATCTTTAAGTGTCAAATCAACTTAAAGAACCTAGAATCATAACCTCAATGTGACACGGTAAACAAATTGAAAAGTCTCTATTTATTACGAAAATAATTTAAAGAAATTTAAATAAGCAAGATGTTACCTTTATCATTACTTCGAACAGCTCAGAACCACCCGATGCTAGTTGAATTAAAGAATGGCGAAACTTACAATGGACATCTTGTTAGTTGCGATAATTGGATGAATATTAACCTCAGAGAAGTTATTTGCACATCCAGAGATGGTGATAAGTTCTGGAGGATGCCAGAATGCTACATAAGAGGGAGTACGATCAAATATTTACGAATTCCTGACGAAGTCATTGACATGGTGAAAGAAGAGACTCAGGTTGGTTGTTGTGTTGTGTTGTGTTTGTTGTTGTTTTAGCGGGTAAACTTATACATAGGTCAATTGTTAAGTGGCCTACGCCCATGGACCTGGAACTCAAAGGACACAAGTGGGACATTACGCAGAAAGGGAGAATTGGGTCTTTGGTACGTGTGGTGACGGATCAAGAATATGGAGTGTCATCACCACTATTCATCCCGTGGGTGTCGTAAGAGCCGACTAATTGAGCAATCTATTCAGGATAACAGCACTGCAAAGAGAAGGAAAACTTGACACAAACCCTTTTCCTTCTCTTTGCAGTGTTGTTATCCTGCATAGTTTGCTTAGTCGGCTCTTACGATACCCACAGGATAAATAGGGGTGGTGAAACTCCGTATTCTTAATCTGTCACCACACGGATGTAGGTAGTTTAATAAAGTTGAAAATGAAAAATATTTATTTAGAAAAAATACAAAAGTGCCTAACAAGACATAAAATTAGTATAGCAGATTTTATCAGATAAATATTTGACACCTTCCCCACACTAGGCAAGCCTGTATTGTGGGGTCCCAACCAAACGTTATTACGATATGTTTTAGAGCTTCTGCGCTTTACAATAGAAAGAGAAAAAGAATGTTAAAATAATATCCTTTTTTATGGTATAGGAAAGCAAACGAGCAGACGGATCAACTGAAAGTCGGTGACTACTGTCCCCGTAGATGCCTGTGGCTCAAGAGACACAGTTCAGCTAGACCAGTGATTCTGATAAAGAATTGCTATTAAAAGCCTGCGAACGATCCAGTAGGCTTCTGCGCTTCTTAAGGACCTTGGTTGGCTCACCTAGCTTCATAGCTTTCATAGTACAAGCTCTGCTTAGTTTGAAACTAGATGGCGTTGGGTGTCAGATGCCCAAAAATATGAATACTTACCATCCAAAGAATGTACTAACTACTGTAAAGCTAACTAGTTTTTTTATATCTCACACTGATTCTCATTTCAGGTTAAGTCTAGAAGTCGTAGTGAAGTCCAAAAGGGCCGTGGTGGTGGTCAGAATATGAGGACCGGTAGAGGAGGAAACCGAGGTGCTTTTGGTAACCGTGGACGTCCAGCGCCTTTGGCAGGACGAGGCGGTGGTAATCAAGGCAGAAATCCAAATCAGAATAAAAAGAAATAGAAAAGATTAAGTTTTTTTTAAGTTAATAAATTAAGATAAGTACATTTTATTTAAAATATAGTTTTATTAAACCCCGATGCATAAACGACGGTGTGTTATAAGTTTGAAGTGTCTGTGTGTGTTTCTGTCTGTGGCATCGTAGCTCCCAAACTGATTGATAATTGACTGATGATGAACTAATTTTTTTTTTGTTTGAAATTTTGAATTAATCACAAAATGGCGGATTACATATCAACTCCCTCAATATGGATATCAAATGAAAGGGCTTGACTAGTATAATACTATACACTGTGACTAATTTTAAATCCAAGATGTAGGAAATAGGCTTAAACTTTTTACTAGGCAGAATGTTTAAAAAAAAAACAAATATGGTTTTAAAAAAGTAAAAAACACGCTTTCTATAGAAAACCAAACTAAAAAATAGAAAATAAATTTGAAAAAAAGCGTTGGGTGCCTGTTGTCAGTAGTAAAAAGCACCCCACAAAACTATTTTTTTTTTTTTTATTGTTGTATTGTCATCGGTCCACGATATATCTACAAAGTTTGAACGAATTCTGACCGTTTAAAGTCAGTCAAAATCACGCCCAAAGGAGTCGGTTACAAACATACAAACAAACATACAAGTGAAGCTAATATAAAGCTTGTAAAAATGATTACATTTCAAAATAAACAGACGAATAACCTGATGGTATAGGTATGACAGTCACTCAAGATTGACAAGTATGTTATTGGACTTTAAGTCTGGAGGGAGGAACGGTATTATCCGGTAATATTTTTCATAGTTATATTTAATTTGGTAAACTTTTAAATGTTTGATTTTATTAAAGAGGAATAACTTTTGAACTGCTGTTTTAATGTGAAATTGTAAAATATGTGACGTCGCACTAGGGAGGGGAGGAGTCTCGTGACACATTACACAATTATTTGTCCTAGGTGGGAATCGAACCCACGACCTCTACCTCAGCAGTTAGAGTTACTAACCACTAGACCAACAGGCCAGTGTGTATGTATTACTGTCATTAATAAAAATAGTACCCTTAAAACTTGTGCACTTGTGCACTCATCTCTGCCCCACCCTAAGGTAGAATGGGAGATTATGCCTGTTAAAGTATCGTTTTAGATGGCCCTTAGTAACGATGGTCTGATGATGGAACCAGGAGGTGGATCAGCGGACTCTTTTCCTATTTATTAATTCATAATTCATTACTCTATCTCCTGGTAAGTGAAGGTTGCAAGTGAATTTATTTGTAACTCTTTTAATATACTTACTGAATTTTTGGCTTGTACCAAGGGTTTCGCTGTTTCGTTTCATACTTCATCATTTATCTAAGTGTAAAGGAGCCCCAGCAGTGGGAATCTTACTGCTCTCCACACGTTGGCAGAGTGCCCGGCGTGGGTTGAGCAGAGGCGAGACCTCGTGGCGGCCATCGGAGTGGGAGTTCTCTCGCTCGATAGCCTGATTGCGGCTATCGTGCGGAGCGAGAGTGCGTGGAACTCTGCCGTCTCCTTCTGCGAGCAAGTTATGCTCGCGAAGGAGACGGCGGAGCGGGACCGGGAGAGGTATAGGACTCTCCCGGCCCGGGAACGGGCCAGGTACCGCAGGCGAATCAGGCGCCGGAGGTCGCAGAACGACCTCCGTCCTCCATAAGCGCAGGCCTGGGGGTGACAGGTGAGGCCATTGTCACCCTAGCAGAAGCAGGCCGGGGTGGCGGCGAGCGCGTTGTGAAGCGCGCTCGCTTCCAGGGAGCAGAGGGAACACGGGAGGGGTCGTCTACCTGTTGTTGTAGATGGCCCGAGGTATGTCGGGGCACCAGGGACTTCCTTTCTAGGGTATACCTGGTTCCCCGGCTATTAGTACCCGAGACGGCGTGCGGTTTTAGTCGGTTAGTCCGACATGCCACCGATAGGTGGTATCCGAGGGGATTTCCGCACGGAAAAAAAAAGTGGGATTCTTACTGGAATATAAGTCTATTTAAAAGGCACCAAAGAGTATGTCTCTCTATATCGTGATATTGTGAAGAAAATTCTTTGTACCACTTTTTATACAATACCCTATTGTTATTATGTAAAAAACGGCTACATAAAAGTACATGGTCCAGTATATTTTGACTTGTCACAGTACTAAACTCTACACAATGATAGTTCAAGTTATACTGGTCGATATTTGCAACCAAGGGATCTCTAAATAAAAGGGCATATTTATACTTAAAAATGTATATTATTATAATTATTTTGTATAAAACTTTAAACCTATTTTGTTCTTATTATATTTACAATATGGCAACACATCACTCAAATCCATAGATAGCTTACAAAATAAATTTAAAAGTACCCACATCTTATACAATATTTTCTATAATTATAATATTTCATTTGATAATAAGTGGTCGGTGTTGAAGCGACAGTAGTGAGTTTTTAGGTTATTTTCTGAATTTTGGCATATAATTTCATATTGTGCTTTCGAAATAGTGTTTGTGTGGTTCTGTTGCAGGAATAATCCTTAACAAGGTTAGTGAATATTAACAACCGCGCTCATTTCTACGGAAATGAGCGCGGAAGACCCCCCTGATGGGGGCGGTGTGTTACCCCCCGATAAACCCAAAGCTATAAAGCGACAATCGGACTCAGTCTTTCCCGTTGACTTCGATGGAAAGAAAATACGTTCACCAGCTGAATCGATTCAGTCAATTTTCTCAAAACCTGGATTTGAGTCTGATTCCAGGCTCGAATACTCGGTATCAGACAAGGGTCCATATTCTGTGTATGTTTCTAGGCTTGAACCTGATCCATCATCCGGCCTGTCTCTTAAGGCACTCAAACTCGCCCAGTTTTTATACAAAAACAAAATACCTGATATTGTAGAGGGAACCATTAAAAATATGGGTCGTAACAAAGTCTGTGTGGAATTTATGTCTGCTATCTCAGCGAATAATTTTGTTAACTCCCCAATTGTCAGACAATATAATTATGTGGCAAATATTCCTCGCTTCCAAGTATTTCGTATGGGTGTTGTTAGGGATATCCCTACTGAGTGGACTCTAGAGGAACTAGTATCTGGAATATCTGTCCCTAAGAATTGTGGCGAAGTTGTTCGAGCTAGACGTCTTAATGTTAAGAATAGAAAAGATGGAGTATCCGTTTGGGTCCCATCGAACTCTGTGGTCCTTACGTTTCTAGGACAGAGTCTGCCAGAAAAAATTTTTTGTTTCAATGCATCTCTGCCAGTGTCGCTTTACCAGTTACCTACCATACAATGTAGAAATTGTTGTCGGTTCGGCCACATTGCCAAACAATGTAGGTCCCAGCCCCGCTGCTATAAATGTGCTCAGCCGCATTCTGGTGACTCCTGCCTGGTTCCTGACTCGGAGATATCTTGTTTTTTATGTCATGGTGGTAGCCATTGTGCTACTGATAACAGATGTCCTGAACACAACAGACAAAAATCCATCAAAAGTGTCATGTCTCAGGAAAACCTTAGCTATATGGAAGCATCAGCTAGATTTCCACAGTTTGCCAAGCGGCTATATTCTGAGGCTGCTGCCAGTCCCAAATCCCCTGCTAATTTCCCTCTAAACCCTCAAACTCATCCATCCATCATACCTCTCCCATCTGCTTCTCCCTCTAAATCATACAAAAAAACAGTTAACCTTCCCCCTCGCCGTATATCTATGTCTGGGAAGACATATGATATTCATGCCCATAATACAATTACTCAGTCCCCAACTTCTATCCACCCTAATGGTTGTTGTCTTATCCCCCCTACTGAAACAACTCCTCTTGCTACTCCTAATGACAATCTTGTACAGCTCCTTCTTTGCTCTTTAATTAACATGCTGTCTAAAATGTCAGATGCCTTACCGTACGACGTTGCAGTTCTTGTTGAACAACTACTTTCTGTTATCACAAAAAATAATGCTTCCAATGGCTCTCCAGGTCCTGCAATGGAACTGTAGGAGTATCCGACGTAACAAACAAGATATCTCTTACTTGATCAATCAACATAAACCTGTTGTTTTTGCAGTTTCCGAAACGTGGTTAAAGCCTGAATTCCATTTTAGAATTCCTGGTTTCTCTTGTCTTCGGGATGATAGAAGTGATGGTTATGCTGGTTGTGCCTTATTGGTCAATAGGAATATTACATTCTCTCTAATCTTATTACCAAACCACTCTCTTGGCTTAAATATAGTGGCCCTCAGAGCTTTTAATGTTTCCTTTGTCTCTGTCTATATTCCCCATCCCAACACAAGCATTCTTCTTGAATTAAAAACAATTCTTTCAACTATCCCCTCCCCTATGATTGTTTTAGGAGACTTTAACTGCCGTCACACTCTATGGGGATCTCACTGTATTGACTCATGCTCCTCTGTCTTACTTGATGTTATGGATGATTGCAACTTGTGCATCCTTAATGATGGATCCGCAACTCGTAGAGTTTCTCCATGCCAAAATATTAGTGTTCCAGATTTAACACTATCTTCTCCTTCCCTAGTCTCCCTCCTATCCTGGTCCCCCCTGCCAAACTCCCTTGGTAGTGATCACTTCCCTATTTTAATTTCATACTTCCCCTCTACTTCATATGTTCCCCGAACCCTACAACCCCTCCTCAAATACAGAGTTTCCCAAGCCAATTGGGAGCAATTTGCAACATCTCTAGATCAAAATTTAACCACTCTCCCTCAAACAAATTCCTTTAATTTTCTTGTCCTCTATGACCAATTTATCTCTGCAATTAACTCAGCTGCTGATTGCTCTATTCCCCTCAAACTTCCTTCCAATAAATTGACTGCTTCTCCCCCTTGGTGGGATTCTGAATGTACTGCCAGTGTTAAGAAGCGCAGGGAGGCTGAGAACAAATTTGCTGCATCCCTTTCTATGTCGGATTTCCTCAATTTCAAAAAAATTGCTGCTAGCACAACTAGACTTCTTTCTGCTAAAAAATCTTTAGGTTGGCGTTCATTTTGTGAGTCCTTATCTCCTCGCTCTAGTCTCTCACTTGTCTGGAAAAAATTCAAGTCATTCCGAAAAAGTCTTGACGTAACAAATATCTCTAGCAATGACCCTCATTCATTCCTGCACGACTTCCTTAGCCAACTGGCTCCTCCATATGCTCCAGGTTTCGATTGTTTCCCACCTGCCTATCCGTTTATTCCAGATTCCTCTCAAAATACCATGGATGATCCCTTCTCTTTCACAGAACTATCCTTTGCTCTAGATAATCTTCATGATTCCTCTCCCGGCATTGACGGTATCCCTTACTCTTTTATTCGTAAATCCTCCAATTCTTCCAAAATTTTCTTCCTCAGTATCCTCAATGCCATCTTTTATTATGGTCAAATACCTGAATCTTGGAAGACCCAAATTGTCATTCCTGTTCTGAAACCTGGTAGAGATCCCAGAAATTCGTCTTCCTATCGCCCTATTGCGCTCTCCTCAGTACTAGCTAAAATAATGGAAACCTTAATTAAATTCAGACTCGAATGGTTTCTAGAACACAACGAATTGTTAGCCAAAAACCAGTATGGCTTTAGAAAAGGTTTAGGCACTTTAGATAGCCTCAGCATCCTCTCCTCTGAAATTCGCCTTGCATTTTCTCGTAACGAGAATGTAATCGGTGTTTTCTTGGACATCTCTGCAGCCTATGACAATGTACATCTTCCTCTTCTCAGGCAGAAAATGCTACATCTGAGTATTCCAGCGAGGATGGTTCACGTCATCTGCAATATGCTCATGTGTCGTACTATCTCTATTCGTCATCAAGGTTCTTTTCTCCCTCCTCGTCTTGTATGGAAGGGCCTTCCGCAGGGTTCAGTGCTTAGTCCCATTCTTTATAATATTTATACTTTCGACCTAGACCAGTCTGTCAGTTCTTTTTGTAAAGTTCTTCAATATGCTGATGATGTTGCCATATATTTTTCATCATCCTCCTTCTCTACTGCCACTTCCCGTTTGAATTCCGCTCTGTATTATTTAAACGTTTGGCTATTGGACCACAATCTTTCTCTGTCTGTTTCTAAATGTAGTGCTCTTGTTTTCTCTCGCAAACGTAATATCCCTGATATCAACCTTTCTGTAGCAGGCGAACTTATTCCAATAAAAGATTCCATAAAGTTTTTAGGCCTCATTCTTGATTCTAAATTATCTGGTATTCACCATCTAAACCATGTTATTAAAAAGAGCGAGGGGGGTGTGAACGTTATGCGGGCCTTATCTGGGGTTCGCTGGGGCTCTCACCCCTTTTGCCAAAAACTTTTGTACAATGCCATAGTTCGGAGTCACTTTGATTATGGTTCTTTCCTTCTGGAACCATGTAATAGAGGTGCTCTGTCTAAGCTTCAGCTGATCCAGTCTAAGTGCCTTCGAATCATAACTGGTGCTATGAAATGCTCTCCAGTGAATGCCCTCCAAGTCGAATGCTTGGAACCTCCCCTTCATCTTCGCCGCCAATTCTTAGCTGACAGATACTTCTTTAATGCAGTCCAAATTAATTCCCATCCCCTTCTTCCAATTCTGTCTCAACTTTCTAGTCTGACCACTATCTCATTGTACTGGAGACACAAGTCTATCCCTTTGCTCCTTAATTCCTTTATTAAAATGAAAAATCTATCTGATCCTATCTTTCAATCTTCTTTAAATCCTCTTTTTGAGCTCGACTATAATGCGTTAACCTTCCTACCAAAAATCATCCTTGACTTTGGCATCAATAAACATTCTCCGGCAGCCAACCAAAACTTTCTCCACATCATTGCGGAGGATTGGTCTGATTGGGTTACGCTTTATACAGATGCATCAAAACTTTCTTCAGATGCCTTTGTTGGTTCTGCAGTTTGGATTCCCAAATTTAAAATTATACTAAGTTATAAATGCTCTTCCTACAACTCTATCTTTTCAGGAGAATCTATTGCCTTATTAGAAGCGGTCTCCTATGTGGAATCTCATAAGCTTGATAAGTCCCTTATTTTGTCAGACTCCTTGAGCTGCCTACAAGATCTTTTAAAAAATCCTTTCAAAGCTCGCAATAATTTCCCTATAATTCTTAAAATTAAAGAGGTTCTTCACAGATGCCTATTGTCTGGTATTGAAGTAGTTCTAGCATGGATCCCCAGTCATTCAGGTATAGCAGGCAATGAAACTGCGGACTCCTGCGCCAAAATAGCAGCTCAGACCGGATGCGCTAGCCACAAATTCTGCTTCGCCCGAGATCTGCGCTCCCTAGCCAAACTTTCATTGACTGAGTCCTGGAATAACACATGGCAAAGCAGTAGAATGATCAAGGGTAAATTTTACGGCTCTCTACAACCCTTAATTCCTGCTAGATCCTGGTTCTTCAAACAAAAACATGTTAATAAGTCAGCCACCTCTACTATAATTCGTTTACGATTAGGATTTGTCAGTACCCCAGTTTTTCTTGCCAAAATTCGAGTTCGTGATCACTCTCTATGTGAGTGTGGTCTCGATGAAGGCACTCTGGAACATATTTTCTTTTCTTGTCCTAAATTGGTCGTACCTCTGTATGATCTACTCCCTCAACAAATATCCCGACCCGTTAATTTGGCTTATCTATTAACTCTAGTACATACCCCATTTGTCAGGATCCTTTACCATTTCATTCGTATAAATAAAATAAATTTATAAAGTTTCCTAATACCTTTACTGCTATATTTTTTTCTACTGTCCTTTTTCTTTTTTCTCTACTGTCCCACAGAACCACAAACAGAAACTATTAAAATCACAACAATTCCCTTTTGGTATTCAAAATATTTTCAACCTATTAACTAATAAATCTACCTCCCACCTAGACATTGGCAAAATCATCGACATCCGATGGAGCCACTGAATTAAAGGAAGAAGAAGAAGAATAAGTGGTCAGGCTACCATCACCCTGGCCACCTTCAACTCAGTCATAAGAGTGCCCCCCCCCCCCCTCTCCCATCTCTGGTACAAAATCGCTCTTAGAAGCCTGTGAACGTCCCAGGAGGCTTCTGCTTACCTAGCCAACCTTTTCTAGACGCATAAAGCTGGTGCTTTGCTGCTGGTAGAATTTCCGCATTTAGACTCGAGAGTGGTCTCTCGAGTCTAAATGCGGAAATTCTCCGAGCCCACAACTAATCCTCCCCCCCACCCTTTCCTCAGAGTTAGGGGAAGGGCACTCAAAGGGCGATACAATGTGGCAGTGTTTAGTAAAGTAAATTATGAGTACCCACATTTTTTCTTTTTATAAGACACGCAGACTCAGAACAACAATTTGTGGATCACACAAAGTGTCGTCCCATGTGGGGATCGAACCCACAACACTCGGCGTAGTAGGAAACGGTGTGGCAACCGCTTAAACCACTACGCCACGTTTTAAGCAAAGTTTAAAGTTCATCTAATATAAGAGGTACCGTTTAAAGTTTTGATGTAACTTCGGTTAGAAATCCGGGAACAGCTTTTATTTAAACTTCCAGGTCCAGAGATGAGAGATGACCTAGGGCAAAACTTCTTTAAAGCCCTAAGTGCTAATCTCAGGTTGATCTTTTTTTCGAGTTTTTTTTTATATTTCCCGGTAATGAGGAGATCCGCAGACGAATCAAGGTCACCGACATTGCCCGGAGAATTGGCAAACTAAAGTGGTAGTGGGTGGGGCATATTGCTAGGAGAAACGACGGCCGATGGGGCCAAAAAGTCGAGTGGTGACCGAGTACCAGAAGACGGAGCGTGGGTAGGCCCCCTACAAGGTGGTCCGGATCGGTTGTTGTGAGGAACTTTGGCGGACGCCTATGTCCAGTAGATGATGATGATTTCCCCTTATAGTGGCAAACTAACGTGAAGCCGGCTTAATGGTAAGCGCGCACCGTAGCCTACGAGTTTCACTTTAAAAAATTCAGACTAAATTTTGATTGACTCCCAAAGGTTGTATATGCACCATGTTCAGGTACTGCATATGGTTCGCCAAGTCGATTCCCGGGTAAGGCTCTTCTTTCTTCACTGGTGGTACGGGACGTGAGGGCTGTAAACGTTTTTTTTTTTTAATTACATGTCATACGTCATCATACTCTTAGAAGGATAAAAGATAAAATTATGAGGAGACTAGCTGACCTGGCAAAAGTTATTCTGCCAAATCTATACTAATATTATAAAGCTGAAGAGTTTTTGTTTGTTTGTTTGTTTGAACGCGCTAATCTCAGGAACTACTGGTCCGATTTGAAAAATTCTTTCAGTGTTAGATAGCCCATTTATCGAGGAAGGCTATAGGCTATATATCATCACGCTAAGACCAATAGGAGCGAAGCACCAATGAAGAATGTTTCAAAAACGGAGAAAATTTATTACTATTGAGAGACGCAGACGAAGTTGCGCGGGTCAGCTAGTAAATTATATAGGGGTTGGAGGGTGAAAAATACTTTACGACCTATTCTCATACCTACCAAATATACATAAAAAAATCTATTAAAATCGATCGAGCCGTTTCGGAAGAGTTCGATCACAAACACCTTGTCTGTATATCTTAGGGTTAGAACAAGAGATCCGAGAACAACGGTTGTTAGAAAGAGACATCGCATACCTTGGTCTTCTTGTTGGTGTCGTGCATCATCTTCATGTGTTTGTAGATGCTGGTTTGCCACGTGAAGGTGGCAGGGCACAGTTTGCATTTGTAACTCTTCGTGTTGGACCTCTTTGTGTGCATCGCCCATACGTGGCCTTTTAGGCGTTTCACGGTCTTAAAAAAAAAATGTAAATATTATAGCTTTACACATCTCTCACGGCCGTTTTGATTCCGAACTAGGCAGAGCCTGTACTATGGTAACCAAACTGCTAATAAACATATATATTTCTAAATACACACATATTATAGATAAATTACACGCAGACACAGAACAAATCATCACACAATTATTTATCCTGGGTGGGAATCGAACCCACGACCTCCGACTCAGCAGTCAAGGTCACTAACCACTAGACCAACAGGCAAGTCAAAAAAAGTTACTCCACACATAAGATAGTGCGATAGAATAGCAGATCAGGGTCGCATTTCCCAAATTCATTTGGAGTCGGGACAATGAGGTTTCTTCTTCCATTCTCCTCTATCACTCGTCAGTTTACTGCTCAATACTCAATACTTTATTTCTTCCACAATGTAAATGCATAGGTGATATCAATTTAAATATAGTAACAATTATGGACCCTGACGGGCGCAGCACAGTTTGTTTGGGAGAAAGGAATTAATATTTTATTTATTATCTATACTAATATTATAAAGCTGAAGAGTTTGTTTGTTTGTTTGTTTGTTTGAACGCGCTAATCTCAGGAACTACTGGTCCGATTTGAAAAATTCTTTCAGTGTTAGATAGCTCATTTATCGAGGAAGGCTATAGGCTATATATCATCACGCTAAGAGCAATAGGAGCGGAGCACCAATGAAGAATGTTTCAAAAACGGAGAAAATTTATTACTTGAGAGACCCAGACGAAGTTGCGCGGGTCAGCTAGTTTATCATATTAGTTGTATAATTTATGAATTTTATTATTTTAGAATTCTATCTTCAAAATACTCTCTTATCCTGTAGTAGCTTTTACTTACAAGAAAGAGTTTTAATTTTTTTGTGAAACTGTTATATTTATTTTCTTGTTTTATGGTTTTAGGTAACTGATTGTATATTTTGATGGAATGGATGCTCACCTCCCTTTCTAGACAAATCTTTATTTACTCAATCCATCCCCCCTTTACTTTGGCCGTCTTCTACTCTTATATCCGTCATCTTCCATATATAAAACTTTCTACACTAAATGCGACCTTCAAACCTTACTCGTACTCCTTCCTCAAAGGCTGGCAACGCGCTAGTAACTCCTGAGTTACAGACGTTCATGGGCGGCGGTGGTCGCTTTCCATCAGGTAACCCGTCTGCTTGACGACTGCGGTGACGCATCACATGCCCGTCACATGTCATCACAACTTTTCCACTGGTGCTACTTTCAGGCTTCCTCTACCTCCTATTCCTCACCTTGTACATTTTAGTCACTCCACACATAGGTGTATAGATATCTCTCATCAGTAACTCGAATTATATATAGATATATTTTTTTATTATTATTATTTTTTTCTTTTTTTCTTTTTCAGAAAAGACAACTCCCGCATTAGGAATATATCCTGTGTCGCGGGGTACTTTACAAACATACATGAAACGGACACAAAGAACACCCAGACTCAGAACAACAATTTGTGGAGCACACAAAGTGTCGTCCCATGTGGGGTTTGAACCCACAACACTCGGCGCAGTAGGAAGCGGCGTGGCGACCGCTTAAACCACTGCGCCATCCGTGCAGATATATTAGTAACAAGGCGAAAATTGACATATGTACAACCGCCTATACGTTTTTGGTCCTTCGATCTTAATAGTGTTACTGATATGCACGCAAGTCAGTTGGTCCTTCGAGCCTGCTTTCGGATTACAAAACGAAGAATAACTTACCTTATAGGATTTCCCACAAATTTCACACAGATGTTCCCCTTCTGCCTCTTTCTTCTTCCCTTCGTGTATATTGTTGACATGGGCAACCATTATTTTTGCTGTTTTGAACGGCTGGAAGAGAACACAGCACTTTTGAACACGCTTTTTTATGGCTCTACTTGTAACTATGTAAACAATGTTGGAATCAATTCAATCAGTTTTGAAGTCCGCTGCAGACACTGGGCTAAAGTGCTGGGTCAGCATGTTGGGCCAAAAATTCGGATTTTATTTACACATTGCTGTATGATCATTGGCCAAAACCTCCTTTCTAAGGCTTCTCTTAGGCCTCTTCTTTCTCTTCTCTCTCTTAGGCCTCTCGCCTATGTCTAGAAGTGGACTATTAAAGGCTGTTGATGATGTGATGATGTGTATGATCATTCTTCATTGGCACTTTTATAAAGTTGGATGTGGAATCTTTGGCAGCAGAGTCATTTTATACTGTAGTACATTTAATTATTACCTTTCCGTGTGTGTGACGGATTACGAATACGGAGTGTCACCCTTCATCCTGTGGGTGTCGTAAGGGAGCACACTACCAGGACAACAGCAGATCACATCAACAGCTTTCCACTCCTGGACTTAGGCCGTAGGTTTTGGCCTACTGCACCACGCTGGCCAGATGAGTTGATATAGGGTTTGTGTCAAGTTTTACTTCTCTCTGCAGTGCTGTTGTCCTGCGTAGTTTTCTCCCTTAGTCGGCTCTTACGACACCCACGGGATGAATAGGGGTGGTGACACTTCGAATTCTTTATCCCTCACCATACGGATGACGATGACTTACCTTAAAACAAACACTGCACTGATACTTGATCCTCTTGAGGTGATCCCAATCAATATGATCAGTGAGGCACCATTTTGTAGGAAACTTCTTGCTGCAGTAGGTACATTCGTGCCTGAAAAAAAATCATTAATATTATATCTTCTTTTTTCCTCTGAGCCTTATGCCCAAACTAGGGTGGGGTTGGCTTCACTACGATACTGCTGAACTTCGATTTTCTGAGCAGAGCGACTGCCCTCAGACCTTCACAACACAAGCAAACGATATCGAAGTTCTGTTTAAAGACTGTTGACTTTTTGATATTTGGATATTTCTACATCACCCGAATATCGACTGGGACAAAATGTCCTGGGCATTAAGTCCACCTGTGTACATTATGCGTTCATTTTTAATTTCATTTATTTATTCAATTTTGTGATACATGGGTGGTTAAGATGTCAATTTTATTATGTACAAGCTATGTCCCGCCGAAAGGCATACAAAATATTAGGCAATGATATATAAACAAAGCAATATTATAATACGTTATTGAAATTAGGTACATTCCTTAAATATTCTAAGAGTATTGTTTAAATAAAGCATCATCATTTTAAATAAACAAAGTCATCAATCCATATAAGTATATATAATTTAAAGTCATCATCGGTACAGGTCAAATTAAGTAATAATAATAAAAGACAATTAAAATTTATAGTAAAAAATAATCAATAAATGTCAATAGTATTAAAATTGGTCATTGAAATATTCGTTTATGGAATAATATGCTTTATTGTTAAAAAATTGAAGTTATTTATTTTATACGAAAAAAAAGTATAGTGACTGGTAGGCGTCCTCCGGCACGTGTCGCTTGCTCATGCGCATGTGGTTGTTGTAGCAGTCGCGGCTGGCGAAGCTCTTCCCGCAGGCGCGGCACTCGTGCAGCGCGCCCGCCTCGCGCTCGCGGTGGTTGCGCGTGTGGCGCGCCAGGTTGCGCTTCCACTGGAACAGCTTGCCGCAGGTGGGGCACGGGTACGTCAGCCCGTCGTGGATCACGCTGGAACACGACAGGCTCTTGGAATCCAACTAAACCCAAACCTATTTTCTGTTTAGTAGCTGGCTGGCTGTTTGTTTATATTTTTTATGGGATACGGACGGTTTTAGTGACAGCCAACGGACAAATACAACTCAAAAGACATTTTGCCGACTTAAATTTTAATAATTTATCCCGTGTGTGTCCTAAGAGCCGACGAAGAGAACAAATTACGCAACAGCACTGCAAAGAGAAGGAAAACTTGACACAAACCCTATACCAACCTGTCTGGTCAACGTGGCATAGTAGGCCAAAACCGCCTTTCTAAGCAGAGGCCTATCTCCAGCAGTGAACTAGTAAAGGCTGTTGATGATGATGATGATGTAATGTGAATTTGAATATAAGTTTTCCCACTCACGCAATATGGTGTAAGCTAATAGTCAGCGACCGAGTTCACGTATTTTTAAATACTATAAAGCAAAATTACAATTACACCCAAACACAAAACAAATAATTGAGCTAATCACACAATATTTGTCCTGGGTGAGAATCGAACCCTCGACCTCTTGTTTAGCAGTCAGGATTACTAACCACTAGACCAACAGGCCCTTTTTTATGGTATGGGGTTATATAATTCTAACGGAAATAGGCAACGCATTTGTGTATCCCGCAAGGGTCCACGGGTGGTGGAAGCCACTCACCATCACGTGGCTAGGCTCCTTTGCCCCCTATTCCATATCTACAAAAATACCTATATAAAACCATCTTCTAAGGGTTTTTTTTTTCTTTTTAAAAAAGACAACTCCCGCATTAGGAATAAATCCTGTGTCGCGGGGGACTTTACAAACATACATGAAACGGACACAAAGAACACCCAGACTCAGAACAACAATTTGTGGATCACACAAAGTGTCGTCCCATGTGGGGTTTGAACCCACAACACTCGGCGTAGTAGGAAGCGGCGTGGCGACCGCTTAAACCACTACGCCATCCGTGCAGTCAAATTTCAATTCAAATTACGAAATTAATATTTCAAATTGTTTTAATTTGATTTCGACTTTTATACAAACGCCTCATTAAAAATAACTTGTTTCCTTCTTATCGTCAATTGTAAGTAGATATCAAAGTGAGTGATCGTCGTGTACACGATACAGTGAAATTCCTCCATTTTACACCCTTAGGGGTGGAATTTTTAGACATCCTTTCTTAGTGTACACCTACGTTACCTAAAGAACATTTTTGCAAAATTTCATGCTTCTAGACCCAGCGGTGTCAGATGTGCGTTTATCGCTCAGTCAGTTAATCAGGGCCTCAATTCTGCTATTTCATGTTTACGCCAAGCCAGTGTCATACCACTGACACGCTATTGAGATGCCATCGAGTGGCCATTGGCATCGGTATAAATATCGGTAGTCTACACTAACTCAGTGTCTTTACAGTGGCGATGGTTTACACTAACTAATCGGTAGTTTACACTAACTAAACAACAACAAAAACAACAACGATAATTCTATTAATTACGGTGTATTATGTCGTTGTAGTTTATACATTTGTATCAATAAATACGATAAATCCATAACAACTTTATGGACCAAAATTAAATAAAACGTAATACATTTTCAAATTATAAGGAAATGATTTATTTATCTTTCCAAATATGGCAATCGTTTTGATATCACCACTGATGAGCCACTGCCATTCCATCGCCACTGTAAAGACACTGAGTTAGTGTAGACTACCGATATTTATACCGATGCCAATGGCATCTCAATAGCGTGTCAGTGGTATGACAGTAGGTTGGCGTAAACATAAAATAGCAGAATTGAGGCCCAGTCTGTCAGTTTCTTCTTTTATAGATTTAATTGATATTTTAATGAAAAAAAAGCCGTGTGGTGTCGTGGGACACCCGATAGGAACGAAGTTGTGACGATCGAGTAAAACTGATTAGACACGATTTTAATTACAACGCCATCTATGAAAGCGGCTATTACCTACATATTTTTCAGTTGGTTTCTAATTAAAACAATTTATACATTGGGAAAATCAAAAGTGTCGTGACCAATTTTCGTGAGATTTTTTTCCGTCTAGCGGGGGGAATTTTTTCACAACGCGCGATAAGGAACTTCGTTCCAAAATTTAATAAATTTCAATTTCATTCGCAATTATCAAGTTCACTAAACGACTGTAAAATTATTCAGTACTTACACGTGAGCTCTGTAACTCTTTTTCGAGTGGAATACCTTGTCGCATCCTTTGCATGGTATATATAACGTCTCCTTCGGCTTTTCTTCTTTATTGTGAGGTAGAATCCTGCAGAAAATACAAAATATATACAAGAGGGCAAAAAAGAAACTACGCAGAACAACAGCATTGCAGAGAGAAGGAAAACTTGACACAAACCCTGTACCAACACGTCAGGCCAGCGTGGTATAGTAGGCCAAAACCTCCTTTCTAAGGAGAGGCCTATGTCCAGCAGTGGACTATTAAAGGCTGTTGATGTGATGCGATGATGAAATGTTTTCGAACACATCTGCAACTGTCATAGATTTTTTAAAATATTCGTCATTCGTTGACGAATATTTGCACTAAGAATATTAAAAAAAATCTAATCTATGATACAGAGATCTATATCTTTAAGATCAATATTTGACGGGCCTGTTGGTCTAGTGGTTAGTGGCCCTGACTGCTAAGCCGGGAGGTCGTGGGTTCGATTCCCACCCAGGACAAATATTGTGTGATGAGCACGGTCATTTGTACTGTGTCTGGGTGTAATTTATCTATAATATGTATGTATTTAGAAATATATAAGTATGTTTATCAGCAGTCTGGTTACCATAGTACAGGCTCTGCCTAGTTTGGGATCAGACGGCCGTGTGTGAGATGTATGAGGTTAATATTATTATTATATTGATTATATTAAACTAGCTACGCCCCGCGGTGTTACCCGCGATTTATCACACTCGAGTATTAGAGTAACAAATATAGAACAATTTTTCCACGGGAAGACTAGATTTTTTTTTAAGTAGGCAATGTGTTAATGCAGGGTGTCGGCTAACTCCATACAATAATTTTATCAAAATGAGTCCAACCGTTTAAGCGTGAAGAAGTAACAAACATACTAACACACACACACTCACAAACTTTCGCCTTTATAATATTAGTGTGATACTCACTTCAAATGATACTTTAAAGTCATTTTATTAGCGAACACTTTCCCGCAGCAGTCGCACTGAGGCCTCTCTTGTCGGCAAATAGACCGGTGATAGGAAAGTTTTGATTTTGTACTGAAAATAAGAATTCATTAAAGAATAATAATATTTTTACTGTTTTTAAGAATTCGAGGGCAAACGTGCAGACAGATTATTTAATGGTAAGTGACTACACCACATGAAACTCAGGAGACGCGGGTGAACAAAAGTTTGTATGATTGGAACATACAGATTTCATAAAAAAACCGGTGTGAGAGATCTATGGAACCCCGGTCGGAGCTAAGTTTGCTATGCAGTCATTTTAATTTATATTATAAAAAAATATTACGTTAATGGAGTTAAATTGAAAAAAATATATGATAAAAAACATTTATTATGTATAAAATAAATAATGATAAATTAAACACTGAATGATCTGGGACAAGTGTCGGGAAAAAATCTGCGACTTTGTCCTCGTGGAATAGTTACTTTGGACTAACGCTAACTTTAAAGGAAAAAAAAACGATTTTGAAACATTCTTCATTGGTGCTCCGCTCCTATTGGTCTTAGCGTGATGATATATAGCCTATAGCCTTCCTCGATAAATGGGCTATCTAACACTGAAATATTTTTTTAAATCGGACCAGTAGTTTCTGAGATTAGCGCGTTGAAACAAAGAAACAAGCAAACTCTTATAATTTTATTATAGTATAGATGTATAAAATAAATTATGATAAATTAAATACTGAATGATCTGGGACAAGTGTCGGAAAAAAGTCTTGTTACACATTTTTCGGTATCGCTCCCATCCGCTCAGAGCGTGTTCAAAAAAAATTTGAAATTGTTTTTAACATTGACATTGATCTGACACTAGGGAGTGACGTCACATGCCAGTTGTCATTTCGTTTTGACGTTTAATGCTTTGCTTACCTGAATTTCCCGCCGCAAGTGTCACACATATGCTGCTGTATGTCCCTGTGTTGTGTGACATGTTTCAACATGCGAATCTTGAGTGTGGTTTTCAAATTACACAGTATGCATTTATAGGCAGCGAGGTGGAGGGCTCGGTGAGATGCCACGTTGTCTTTCGTCAGGAAATAAGCTTGACAGACTTCACATTGATGACAGTTTTCGCCTTTCTAAAGATAGAGTAAAACATTTGACGGGTTGGTCTAGTGGTTAGCTACCCTGACTGCTAAGAGTAGGTCGTGGATCGATTCGCGTCCAGCACAAATGATTGTGTAATGAGTAGGATCATTTGTTCTGTGTCTGGACAGACAGTATCTGTCTGGACAGAATTTATCTATACACATAAAGTTACTACCACCCCGAGGTAGACTGCCAGAGAATGACTACGGCATTAAGTCCACCTTTGTACATTTTTTTGAGCATAAATTATTAAATAAAAAAAGCCGTGTGGTGTCGTAGGACACCCGATAGGAACGAAGTTGTGACGATCGAGTAAAACTGATTCGACACGATTTTAATTACAACGCCATCTATGAAAGCGGCTATTATCTACATATTTTTCAGTTGGTTTCTAATTAAAACAATTTATACATTGGTAAAATCTCCTTGAGAAATGATTTCCTATCTATTCGATAGATGGCGCTGAATGACTGACAAGTGACAATTCAAAATAAAAACTGAGATGAAAAGTAATGATTTTCTATCTATTCGATAGATGGCGCTGAATGACTGACATAAAAAGTGTCGTTACAACTTTTCGTGAGATTTTTTCCGTCTAGCCCCCTTTACAACGCGCGATAATAAACTTCGTTCCAAAAAAATTAAAATACAATACTAGCCCTGACTGTTTATCAACGCAGAGCCTAAACCTCTGTGGGTACAAAATTGAAATTTTGGCAGTTGTCGCTTTTTATGTTGTAAGCACCCACTAAGTAATGATTTTTGGAAATTTCACCCGTTAGATACCCGATACACCCGATAAAATAAGATGACCGGTTGTATATTAAAGTTCGTCATTTTTAATGTTAGAAATAAGAAATAAACGTCCGTGTGGTGACGGATTAAGATTACAGATTGTCACCACCCCTATTCATCCCGTGGGTGTTGTAAGAGTCAACTAAGGGTAAAAACTACGCAGAACAACAACACTGCAGAGAAAAGGAAAACTTGACACAAACCCTTTTTTTTTTTTTTTTTTTTTTTTAACGTGTGGAAATCCCCTCGGACCGTCACCCCTCCGGGGTTTGCGGCGGGGTGGTGTGTCGGACTCGGACCGACTAAAACCACACGGTGTGCCACTCTGCGCCTGTAACAGGAGGGATCCGGGAACAGCTGTTGTTAAGACATCCGGACCCCTCCTAGCGCCAGCCCGCTCCTGGTGCGGGCTCCGTCTCGATGTTTTCCTCTCTTTATAGGCGACGTCCGGCACACGCGGACGCCGCCCCCTCGCGGCTGGCCAAACTAATGCGGGTGGAGGGGAAACCCACCCCGTCCACCCGCGGCCACACTCAGGGCGGCATGAGGCTGTGGTAGGCGGGCCTCCGCCGCCCGGTTCGCCGGCGGCGGATCGGGTCCGAGTGGAGGTCGTCCTCCCGGGCCCTCTCCGCCGCCTCCTTCCGCGAGATTACTACCTCGCAGAAGGTTGCGACCGCGGTAAAACAACTGTCGCTACCGGCCATGGAGCGTACTACGGCCGGTAGCGAGAGATCCACTCCGATGACTGCAGTGAGGGCCCGGCGCTGCGCCGCCCATGCGGGGCAGACCGCCAGCGTGTGCTGGGCCGAGTCCTCACTGCAGTCGCAGTGGTGGCAGGCGGGACTCAGTTCCCTCCTAGCGACCGTGTGCAGGTACTTTCCGAAGCAACCATGCCCGGAAAGCACCTGCGTCAGCCGGAAGGAAAGGGTCCCGTGCTGCCGCCCTGCCCACTCGGCGATGACCGGCTGGAGAGCCTCCACGGCGGCAAAGCCAGCGCGTGGAGTCTCCAGCCGGAACGACCAACGAGCCATCGTGGCTCGGCGAGCGGCTTCGCGCCACTCGCGCACATCCTCGGGCGGAGGGCGAAATCCGCTCTCCGCCCGGAAGTCAGCCACTCGCCGATAAACTTCGGCGAGCACTTCCGCCTCCAAATCCCACGGGGGAGTTCCGGCCAATGCGCATGCCACCTCCGTCGAAACGGTGCGGTAACCGCGTATGGCTCTGACCGCCATTACCCTCTGAGGGCGCCAGAGGCGTACCCTATTCTGGGCGGTCAGAGCCGCCGCCCACACCGGTGCACCGTACAGTGCCATTGACCGGACAACCCCCGTGTACAGCCGTCTTGTCGCGACGCTGGGTCCACCCATATTGGGCAAAAGTCGCCCTAGGGCAGACGCAGCGCCGACCAGCTTTGGAGCAAGCTGTCGGAAGTGCTCGTCGAAGAGCCACCTCCCGTCGAGGATCAGGCCCAGATATTTCATCTGGGCCCGAACCGGTACGAGGACCGAGTTGACCACTATTGAGGCGCCAGGGGGTGGACCACGACGGGGCCCATGGAATAACAGGGCCTCCGTCTTATCTAGGGCCACCCGTAAGCCCAGCGCCTCAATGCGCCCGACCACCAGGGAGACTCCCCCTGTGGCCAGGCGCGCCGCCTCTTGGAAGTTTGCCCCCCGGGCTGTCACGAGGGTATCGTCTGCGTAACAGATTACACCCAGCCCGGGGGGGGAAATCGGCGCGAAGGGCCCAGTCGTACCCTATGTTCCACAAGAGGGGTCCAAGAACAGACCCCTGTGGAACACCGCACGACATGGGCCGACACCTCAGATTACCTTCTCGGTCCTCGTACACGACGGTACGCTCCTCTAAATAGTCTGCCACCAGCCGCCTCAGGTACTTTGGCACCCCATGATAGTGGAGTGCTTCCCTGATGCAGCTGAATGGCAGACTATTGAATGCGTTGGCGATGTCTAATGACACCGCCAACAGCACGCCGCCACAGCTCACGGCCTCTTCGGTCACGGCCCTCAGGCGCAACACGGCGTCGACTGTCGAACGCCCCGCCCGAAAACCAAATTGGGCGTCCGACAGATCGGGGCCCACCTCGCAGAGGTGCCGGACGATGCGGGCAGAAAGAACCCTCTCAAACAATTTGCCCGCCTCGTCCAGCAGCACGATGGGCCTATAGGCCGCGACCGAATCGGCAGGCCGTCCCGGCTTCGTCAGTAGGACCAGCTTCCCGCTCTTCCAGCACTCAGGGAAGCGTCCCGACGCCAAGCTAGCGTCGAACACCTCCCCGAGGCGGTCTGCCATGTGGTTGAGGGCCAGGGCCAGCACTCGGGCCGGTACCCCGTCTGGCCCAGGGGCGGTGTTCTTGGAACGGATCCGTAGAACAGCCGCCCCTACCTCCGAATCCCGGACGGGCGGAACATTGTCCTCCCCGTGCTCCCCGTCGTCTCCGGCCAGGGAGGCCATCGACGGGGGAGTGTGTTCCGCTCGTTGTGGGAAAAGGCCCTCAACCACTTCTCGCAGGAAGCTGGGCTGGAGAGTCTCCGTAAGGGGGGGGCCCGACGCGCGGAGCTTTTGTCGCACCGCGCGGTAAGGGCGACCCCAAGGGTCACGATTAAGACCCTCCAGCATCTCCTGTCTCTTTTCCTCTTTGGCGCGGCTAATGGCCAGCTTCAGAGTTTTCCGAGCCCGTCGGTACTCCTCATGAAGCCGGTCCTCCTCACCGTCTCCACGGTGACGCCGCCGACTGCGCGTGTAGGACCTCCGGGCACGTGTACAGGCCGCACGGAGGTCCGCCAGCTCCTGGGACCACCAGTAGACCTCCTTCCTTGGAGGCCGACGACCTCGAACGCGGGGCATGGCCGCATCGCATACATGCGTAATCGCATCGCGAAAGCGGCCAGCCCCCACGTCGACCTCCTCGGTCGGAGCCTGAGGAGACAGCCACGAGTGAATTATGGCTGCCTCCTCTAGTAGGTCCCGGTTCAGCCTGGCAACAGCCCACCGCGGAAAGCGGGATAAACGCCGCGCCACGTGACCCCTACTGGAGTCCTGGGTCCGGGAGAGCTCAAATCGGATATACAGGTGATCCGAGAGCGTCTCAACCTCTTCCAGGACACGCCAGTTCCTTACTCGTGCGGCGAGGGCAGGGGTAGCGAACGAGAGGTCCACTATCGACCCCCCCTGCTGTCGCACGCTAGTCGCCGTATCGAGGTCTCCAAGCTGGTCAGGAAAACCTCGAAGTCGTTCAAACTCCGGTTGGGGGAGAAATAGACACCATATATGGTGATCCCCCCCCACTCGACGGCAACATATCCAGTGCCCTTGTCTCTTAGCGACAAGGGCGGGGAATGAGCCGTCGTGGAACCGACGACTGCCACGGAGCCGTCCCAGTCACCCATCCAGTTTGGACGGGGAGGGACAGAATAGGGCTCCGCGACTACGGCAACACCTATCGACCACTGTGCCATGGTTTGCAGGAAGAGATCCTGAGCCGCGGCACAGTGGTTCAGGTTCGTCTGGACCAGGAGGTTGGAGACTTGATCCATTACTGGATCGTCTCTACAACCTCCTCCATGGGCGACGACGTCGACGCACGAACTATATCGGAGGCAGCCTGGGTCGACTGGCTAACCCCCGACGTCTGCCGAGAACTGCGGGGAGGCTTGCAGCCTCTCTGCCCCATCTGATGATTGGCGGGCTTATTGCCCGCCGCACACACTGGGCAGTGAGGGGCGGCAGAGCATTCTGCCGCCTTATGCCCCGGTTGACCGCAGCGGAAACACAGTCCGCCGCAGTCAAAACAACTGTCGCACTTGACGCGCGTGTGTCCCGTGGCCAGGCATTTAAAACACCTCATCGGTCTCGCCGCCAGGACTGTGATCCTGGCGCTCACGAAACCGATGAGCAGCCTGCCGGCGTCGGCCAATACTTTGGCCGACGCTACGGGGCAGCTGACCCACACGGCGCCAAGCCCTCCTGGACCGGGGCGGATGGTGCCGACCCTGACGTTGTCCGCGCTGCACCCCGTCTTCTCCCGGATTACAGCGCGGACATCTTCGGCCGTCACTGAGTCGTCCAGGCCCGAGATGCGCAGTTCCGCGCACTTGGTAGGCCTGGCGACCCTGACACCATCAGTGGCCGCAAATATTCCCCGCAGCCTCTCGGCGAAGGAGTCCGCCGTCTTTGCGCCTTCAGCCCCAGGGAACTCGAGGACTCGAGCTCCCGTCTGGGCGAGGCGCATCCTGACCCCCACCGTTCCAAAGTCGCTAGCGAGGCTATCCCGGGCCTTTTTAAACACGGCCGCGTAGGACAGCCCGCCGTCCGCCGCCTCCGGGGACACGGTCACCACTACAGCCGCGGTTTTGGGCGGCTGCAGCTTCCGCGGCCTCTTTGTGGAGGCCGTTGCCACCGGTGGCGAAGGCTGGGCCTGGGCTGCTTTTTTGGCAGCCTTTTTGGCCCGCCTTCGGGACTTCTTGGAGCCCCTCGCCTCCTGCCAACCCTCGTTGGAGGGGGCAGGTGCGGAGGGGCCCGGCAGGGGTGTCGGAGTGGGGAGCGGAGGGAATGCCACTCCGCTCCTCGGCGCCGTTTTAGGCCCCGTCTTGGCCGGCGCCTGGGGATGTGCCTTGGCCGGCGCCTTAGCCGGTGCCTTGGCCGGCGCCTGGGCCGGTGCCTTGGCCCCCCTCCTCGGCTTTTGGGGAGCCGATGGAGTCGGGGCAGACGCCGCCGCCGCGTAGGAGACGCGGCCTCCCACTACGGGGAGCGCGGTCGGAGCGGCGGGCCGCTGTGTCGACGCGAGCGGGGGGCGCATACTCGGCGCAGGAGGCAATCTCGCCTCCAGGCCAGCCAGGCGTCCGTCCAGCATATTCCCAACTGCGATGAGGATTTCTCGCAGTTGGGAGTCAAATGCCCCTGAGTTGGTGGTAGGGGCAGGCTGGGACGCGGACGGGGCTTCCCGCTCGGGGAGGTTCGCCTGGAAGCGGGCGAACTGAGCGCTCAGCTCGTTCACCCGCTCCGTCAGCTTCTCGTTGGCCACCTGCAGGCGAGAGACGTCGCCCGCTAGGCCCTCCACGACCTCCGACAAAGCGGAGGAGGAGTCCTTAAGGGCCCTCACAAACGAGCCCTTAAGGTTCACGGATTTGGTGGCCACCTTGTTGATGACGGCCACCGCCGCTTTCGCCCTCTCCTGCACGGACACGGGAGCCTGGGGGGCATTTCCCCCCACCGGCTCCCGAACCTTGAGCAGGAGATCCGCGATCTCCTCCTCCGCTACGGCCTCGCCGTCCACTCGTACGCTCCTGTAGGACTCCGCGTTTGAGAACGCGGAGCCTGACGGGGTCGAGACCGAGGCCGAGGCCGGTTTACGCGCCCTCCCTCGGCGGCTGCTTGCCACCTTTGGTGGCATCATTTCGCCGGACGTGTCGGTCCCCTCTTCCCTGGAGCGTCCGCGTTTCCTGCTGTCGCTTCGTTCCGCCTCCATGGCCTCCGCGCCATCCGACGAAGCGGCGGATCCGGAACGCAGCCGATCCGATGCTCTTCGGCTCCCAGAGACCAGAGTCAGACTGACCTCTGGGAGCCCCATCGAGATAGGCGTTCCTGACACCATCTCACCCTCAGTGGACGACCCATCCGCTCCACTGTTCTTCTTCTCCCTCCTTGCCTTCGTTGCCGTATCCGTTTGACTTGCCTTTTTCCGTTGAGTTTGGTTTTCCGATCGTTTGTCTATATTTTTAACATGTTCCATAATAATCCCACGAGTGGGGGAGAACTAAAGGTCCACCCGGGCAGAGATCCCCCATTACCCGGGCAAGCGTAAGTTTTTAACCCAACCGAGGGGTCCGCAGGTACCTCGGCTTGGAGTGCGCTCGCGACTGAACTTCCCATCAGCCATGCATCCCCTGGCCACGCACCAGAACACGGGATTCGGGGAATTTTTTAGAGAGGTTATCTTCCTCGCGGTCCGGGCGGTTAAGCCAAGACCCTCGCCTCCGATCAGAGCCGCGAGACTTAACCACAGCGCTCTTCTCGGGATTGCGATATGCCGACGGTTGACAGGGAGACTACGTCCCCCTGCCTGCTCGGTGGTAGTGTGAGTACACGCCGAGCCCGTCCTCCTTTCTCCACCGCTATCAGCGGAGAAACTGTGGCCCCTACAGGGCCCCGCCATCAGGTTTTTTACCGAGGTTTCCTCCTCCATGCTCCGAAGAGCGAAGAGCCAGCAGGGCAACCGGCAGACACGCCCACCCTGCTGGACCAGGCCTTGCCCGAGAGCCGATGAACGGCTGCCTCTTCTGCTAGAATATTGGCCGCTGGCGATAATCCTCTCCTCCAAGAGGACAAGGAGAAACCCTATACCAACCCGTCTGGCCAGCGTGGTATAGTAGGCCAAAACCTTCTTTCTAAGGAGAGGCTTATGGCTAGCAGTGGACTATTAAAGGCTGTTGATGATGATAAGAAATAGTTAGTCTATAATATGTATTTATTTAGATTTTTTTTAGGATATGTTTATTAGCAGTCTGCTTGCCATTGTATAGGCTCTGCCTAGTTTGGGATCAGACGGCCGTGTGCGAGATATGTCAAGTTTTTTTTATTCACATCACATCACATCACAACAGCCTTTATTAGTCCACTGCTGGACATAGGCCTCTCCTTAGAAAGGACGTTTTGGCCTACTATAATACGCTGGCCAGACAGGTTGGTATTTATTAATTATTTTAAAACACTACAGAAACTTTATTGTTTTTAATAAATTAGATTTTAAGTACATTAATATAATAATAATATAATTATATAACTTACCTCCTGATGTTTTCCATTAAAATGATCATTTTTCAATTTTTCAGTATTAAAACCTTTTATACAATCATCGCATTTAAACTTTAATTTGAGAAACTCTTTGCTCTCTCTGTCTTCGTCTCTGATGGCCCACATCTCCTTCTCTGTCATTGTGTACAATTCCACCATGTCTTCTGGAAGGTTCTTTAGCTTTCTGTTTGTCTTTTCTATTGGTTGAATTTCTGGTTCTGGTGTTACCTAAGATAGATACAATATTTTCTTTCTCTTATTATGTTCGTCTAGTGCAGGGATTCCCAAAGTAGTCGAAATCGTTTTCTCAGGGGTCAACGTAAACCAAAACTGATTTTGGGGGTCGACGAGGTCTAAAAATGAACCACTATATAACTTATATTAACACAAGTTCTTATTTGAAACTTTTAAGACACTATATAAGTTGTTATAAGACATACTATTTATTTTGTTAAATTCTGATGAGAAAATGATGTCAAGTTTATCTACCTAACCAACAGCAAAGTTTTTAAATTATTAAGTTTATTGTATTAATAGGAAAAAAAACTTTATATAGAGAGAGGATTTTTAAAGTTTTTTTTTTATATGTTAGAGGGGGCAGACGAGCAGACGGGTCACCTGATGGAATGTGACCATCGCCGCCCATGAATGTCTGCAACTCAGGAGTCACAAACGCGTTGCCGGCCTTTTAGGAAAAATAAATTAAATTAAAATGAATAAAGTAAATTACATATGGTGGTCTGAAGTATCAGTTCATTTTTGAAAAGGGGTCTCTTGCCCAAAACAGTTTGGGAATCCCTGGTAGAAAAGCGGGAGTGAGCAGCATCAATCCCAAGCAAATTTGTCATCTAAATAATCTTTTTCTTGTTTTACTAAAGACTTTTTACTAAATTTTATTGTAGAAACGCACATCCTTTTTTTCCGTGCGGAAATCCCCTCGGATACCACCTATCGGTGGCATGTCGGACTCGAACCGGCTAAAACCGCACGCCGTCTCGGGTACTAATAGCCGGGGAACCCTAAAAAGGAAGTCCCTGGTGCCCCGACATACCTTGGGACATCTACAGACGAGTAGACGACCCCCCAGTGTGGGAACCCCATGTTCCCTCTGCTCCCTGGAAGAGAGCGCGTTTCGCAACCGCCACCCCGGCCTGCTTCTGCTAGGGTGACAGATGGCCTCACCTGTCACCCCCAGGCCTGCGTTTATGGAGGACGGAGGTCGTTCTGAGACCTCCGGCGCCTGAGTCGCCTGCGGTACCTGGCCCGTTCCGGGCAAGGTACCGCATACCGCATACTCGAGCCAATCCTCCGTAACGGGTCTTACCGCCGCGATGACGGCGTGCCCGAGAATCGCACACCCTGACATTGAAAAGACTTGTTTACTTTTTGTAGTCTGGTGGTTGGTGACACGAGTTTATCTTTATTTCTAGTGTTTATTTGTTGAATGTCGCTAAACTTTATGAATAAATTAATATTTTTCTTGACATACACTAAATTTTTATTTATGAACTGAGATGCGACTGTTATGATACCAATTTCTTTAAACTTATCCCTCAGTGACTGCCTATAACTCAGATTATAGATTGCGCGAATAGCTCTCTTTTGCAACACAAAGATACTTTGAATGTCAGCAGCATTTCCCCACAACAAAATACCGTATGACATTACACTATGAGAATAGCTAAAATTCAACAGTCTAGCTAATAATATATAATAACATTGTATCACATTCACACAACGCCATCTAGTCCCAAACTAAGCAGAGCTTGTACTATGGGTACTAGACAACTGATATAAATACATATATACTTTTTTTTTGTAAATACATACTTATTATACATAGAAACACCCAGACCAAATCAAACATTAAATGTTCACGCACACAAATGTTTGTCTTGAGCGGGAATCGAACCCGCGACCTTTGGAATAGCAGTCCGTTACACAAACCACTACGCCATTCGGTCGTAGCTGTTTCTACATCCGTTTGATTAATTTTATAATCGAAATAAATGGACTACCTCACCTCAATCTCTTTCTTCTTCGTCTTCCTTTTCTTAACTCTATCAGTCTTATTTTTATTGCTATCGTCCGTGACGTCATTTTCCTGTAAACAATAAATTATGAAACGTAAATTATTTTACAAAATATATATTTTAGGTTAACTTAATATTGACTTCCTTTCATCCTCTGAGCCTTTTTTTCCAAACTGGGTTACGGTCGGCTTTTAAGATACCTACTTTGAACTTTGATTTTTTTACGCGGAGCGACCATCAGATCTTCACAACCCAAGTACTAGGGGATTTCGAAGTTCTGTAGAAAAACTGTTTGTTGTCGAACTTTTTAGGGCTCCAACGACTGCCACAGATATTCGTATCATCATCATCATCATCAACAGCCTATAACAGTCCACTGCTGGACATAGGCCTCTCCTTAGAAAGGAGGTTTTGGCCTACTATATTGGATATTCGTATGGTAACCAGGAAAGATAGCTTAACGTACTCTCCGAGGCACCGAGGTGTCTCAATTTGTTAAGCATGGTCACCCATCCATATACTGACCTGGCTATGATTGCTTAACTTTGCAATGTGTTACCCTACTCGGTTACCACTTAACCACGAGCCCCTCTAATATTGACTCCAATTATCAATCCACATTAGCAATATTCCTTTCCCTTATGAAACGCCCTTAAATTTCACATTTTGAATTTCCAAATTTCGTCACCACGGCGTTAGGCTCACCCCCTCCCAGAGTAGGACACCTAAGGCCGGCCGTCGGGGTGGTTTTTAGTGGAATCACCACATACTCCTGGCTTCTGAGTCCCCGAGGAGCCGGAGATCCGAAGGGATTTTCCACTCCGTCAACAAAAAAAAAAGGCTCACCCCTATTGCGTGAGTACAACCGTTTTGTTGTTGATTATAATGTAGTAACCGGCCGCAACTTTCCGCCTTCGTTACACACGGCAATATTTTCATCCCCACCACTTGGATTATGTGCGCTTTTCAAGACACTTTTTGCCTCGCACAACCTATCTGTATTACAAGTTACCTTTAAACCTTCAAGAAAAGAGAGTACTCCTTCCTCAAAGGCCTGCAACGCGCTTGTGACTCCTGAGTTTCCATAAAAAAATACCAAATTAAACCAGCTTGGTAAAATATGGTATATTTTATATATCCGTGTGGTGACGGATTAAGAATACGGAGTGTCACCACACCTATTCATCCCCTGGGTGTCGTAAAAGCCGACTAAGGGGACAAACTACGCAGGACAATAGCGGCAAAGAGAAGGAAAACTTGACACAAACCCAATACCAACCCGTCTGGCCAGCGTGGTATAGTAGGCTAAAACCTCCTTTCTAAGGAGAGGCCTATATCCAGCAGTGGATTATTCAAGGCTGTTGATGAAAGGAGATCCTGCGGTACCCTCTAATAACCCTGACGGTCATAATAACGAGCATTGGGCATCGCAAAATTGCTATATTATAGGTCGTCTAGTGTCTACGTCTAAATAGGGCCTGATAGACTAATTTTAAAGGTCACCTACAGGAGTCTTCGCTCTCCCCCAGGTTGGGTAAGAACCACAAATTGCCTATCATAATATCGTGAGTACATGTAGCAATTATGTAGAAAATTAAAATGTCATACAGTAATAGTTACATAAGGCTAATAATTTTCTTCTATCGTTTGTTTTTAACTTACAAATAAAATTAAATTACAAAAATGTTTATAATTATGTTCGACGTGTTTCGCTGGAACGATTAGTCCCTAATTAAATTCGTATGTTTAATAAATTTGTATGCAATATACAACTGATTTATCAATTAACTAAGATTAAAATTATACATCTCAATAAATAGATTTAGTTAAAACACGGAATAATTTAAAAAAATCAAAAACCCGACTGCAGAAAGATAATTTAAAAGTAATGCAATAAAAGACTGAAACAGGACGAGGTCCGATACAATAAATTATAATTGAAAAAAAAATGTGCGTCTTGGGACGCACGACAGAAGTGATAACTTAAACTAATCTAAGTTGAACTATTTAATATTGAAATTGTTTAACTTGAGAAAAGCTTAGGTTATTACTTAAATTTTATGTAAAGCTTCTGTCCGGAATACGTCTAGCGTGGGTTAGAGTGAGAGAGGAGGAGCCTGCCTACCGCTGCCATATACGTGGTAGAAAGAGAAGCCAGATAGCCTGACGCCGTAACGCGTTACGTAACGAAGCGGTTTACCCTCCCACAAGAAGTTATCACTTCAAAACTAAAAAAAAACACGCTTTGTAGCTAGCCGAACTAAAAAGTAGTTTTTTTTTTTAATTTTTTTAAGTTCAAAAAGAAACATTTTATCGTAAAAAAGCGTGTGGTGCTAGATCTCAATTGTTGTAAACATATTTTACTGACAGATATTGGTAAAAATAAATTTATCTTATATATAAAATTCTTGAGTCACAATGTTAGTTACCATACTCCTCCGAAACGGCTGAACCGATTTTTATGAAATTTTATGTGCGCATCGTGTAGGTCTGAGAATCGGCCAACATCTATTTTTCTTACCCCTAAATGACAAGGGTGACCCAACCCTAAATTTTTTTTTAAATATTGCCTAGAAATAATGTATATGGCAAAACAACGTTTGCCGGGTCAGTTAGTTATTTTATAAAATACCTTGCAAAGTATCGTATTTTTAGGTATGGAAATACCGTTTATCCGTTAATCCTGAAGGTCCTGATCAGGATAATGGGACAAACTATTTAAATTATTGCATTGTCATCGGCCCTTGATAAGTGTGCAAAGTTTCAATTTAATTCGACGTTTTGAAGTGGGTCAAAATCACGTTCGAAGATTCCGTTACATATATACACATACATAGATTCATACTCGTATCTACGTACAAGCAAATAAAAGCGTGTTAAAAACGGGTCTATGTTACGCCATTAAAAAGCTTTATAAAACTTATTTATTATTCCTGATTAAATTTAAATACATAACATCCATATTAATATTATAAATTCGACCTGTGTCTGTCTGTCTGTCTGTTACCTCTTCACGATTAAACCGCTGAAACGATTTAGATGAAATTAGGGATAGTATGAGTCACGGAAAAGGGCATAGGATAGTTTTTATCCCAGAAATCATCCTTTAAGAGGTGATAAAGGGGGGTGGAAGTTTGTATGGGGAATCAGATGACATTTGGTAAAGAGACAGTTTGATTCTTGATGAAGGACATAGGCTTTTTACCGCGATAACCAACATACACGCGGGCGGAGCCGCGGGCAAAGGCTAGTATATTTATATTCACGGTTATAGTAATTACATTATTTTCCCGCCCAATGGCAGACGCAGCAAACCAGCAAGACCTGAAAAGGTCGAAAGTGCTCGTTGACGCACCACCTTCCATGGACTATCGACTCCAGATTATTCATCTGGGCCTTCTTCATTGTATACGATTGAGCGTCATTAAATTAAAAGCGTACAGAGACGCTTTTAATTTAATTACCGAGGTATGCTGAACAACAGGTAGCAAACTATCAATATCAATAAAGACAAGACTCCAAACAAGAAAATATTGTACGTATATTTGATGATATAATAAAAGAGATAACAGAGAGAATTACTCAGTGTTTTATTTCCTTTTCTCATCTTGTAGCGTAGCTAGGTCTAACAAAATTTGGTAAAAGGCGCCCAAGGGCAGACGCAGCAACCCAGCAAGACCTGGAAACAAAAGGTCGGAAGTGCTCGTTGACGCAAACCTTCCATGGACTATCGACTCCAGATTCTTCACCTGGGCCGTCTTCATTGAATACGATTGAACCACGACGGGGCCTATAAAATTAAACGAGTTTCCGTATTATTTACCCACTAGACCACCAGAGAGACTACACTGGCGTGCAGCTTCTTGAAAAGTTACCCTCCAGGCCATAACCAAAGTGAGTTGAGAACAGATAACGCCCAGCCCGTGGGAAGGGGGCCTCAAAAGACTTAGTCCAGGAATTCAAATCTAGAACAAGGCACGACATAAGCCGACTACTCAAAGCTCGATCACGTTATATGGTAGATGACGGTACGGTCCTCTGAAAAGCCTAAACTGGCCGCCTCAGGTACTATGACACCCTGTGATGAGCGATTTCTTAATGCAGCTGAGTAGAAGACTATTGAATGAGTCAGCGACGTCCAACAACTACACGGTGTGCCCCGTGATGTTTGGGTGATGGGAGCGTGGGTGGGTGTCGTGGCGTAGTCGCAGGCAACAGCTAGTCTGTAGTAACATTAACTTATCGGAACTAATTTCTCTAAACACCAATTTGAAAATTTAATTTAATTTACACACAATATTTGTTGTCATAATAATGGTATTTTTAAACGTGTACCGTTAGTTTTTAATTGCAATACTATAAATTACCTTCCAATATAGATTTATTATTACATCTTAGTACCGTCAGGGTAGGGTTGAACCTGCTAGAATATTCGGAAGAAACTGGAGATAATGAATTCGTTAATATTTTTCCTTCTAAAAACTGTGTTTTTGGCAAGTTTTGTTCAATCGTTACCTACACACGAATTTATTGTAGTTGCACCACAGGGATGTCCGCACCATACCTATTCACCAGTATGTGGCACTAATCACGTAACTTATATAAATGCGATGTGTGTACCGCGTCACGTAAAAGTTTTGCATTATGACCCGTGTGCGCCTAGACCGAGGTATGCTGATCAACAGGTAGGAAACTATCAATATCAATAAATACAAGACTCCAAACAAGAAAATATTGTACGTATATTTGATGATATAATAAATGAAATAGAATGATTCAGTGTTTTATTTATTTTTGTGTTTTTGTTTAATTTGTGATAAAACAAAACTCAATCATGAACCGATTTGGAAAATTCTTTATAAATAATAAATAAATAAATTCTTTATTTAAAACTAAAAACAGATTACAATAATTCAAATGTGTTTGATAATGACTGCATTAGTGAAACACTGTGGCGCAGTCACTAACGCCCACCTTTGGATCTGATGCAAGCGTTCCATTACATTCTACCACATTACAACCCTAAAAACTAAGCATGTGGAGTATAACGTTGAGGATTTCAAAGTGTATG